ATCGAAGAATTGTATCAGACTGCTCTGAGCATTGCTACCACCGCTGTACTGACGGTAGTCCTCCTTTCCAGAGCCATCGTCATAATTGACGCCGTCAGGAAGACCGGCTTCGGCCATGTTCTTGCTCCCAGCAAGAAAGGTGCGGATGCGATTGTAAAATATGTTGGGATCGCAACTCTCGTGCATGCGTTGCAAGATGATGGTCAGGTCGGTCAGCCGCTCGGCAAAGGTGCGCAAGCTCCGGGTGACGGTCGAGACATCTCCTCGGCGAGCAGCTTCCACGGCACCCAGCATGAGGGGGATGATGGGACCGCCACGGGCCTCAATAGCGACAGAGACGAGGTAGAACCACGACTCGTCGAGAGAACCAGTGAAGGTGTTGAGGGTGGCTAGGTTCTCGAGATTGTCAATGTCCTCGTCGACAAAAAGAGGCTTGAAGTTCCAAAGGCACAATGCGGCGTAGGTAGCAACCGGAGGCAGCTCAAGATGATTCGAGACCTTCAAGAAGGGAACGGTGATGGAGGGCGGAAGTTGATCGCAAGGCTCATCGCCACCCCAGATGTAGGCATGAGCCATGAAGGATAACAAAGAGTAGGCTCTCCGCCATTCTGCGTCGTGTTCCAGACCGATGGTGGAGAGAACAGGCAAGCGGTCGACAACCGGACGAAGGCGGCGGCTGAGAACGAGAGCCTGTAAGTTGGCGACAATAGCCTCCCACTTGTTATAGTAGGGGTCCGGCAGCCGCGTCAACGGGAGAACGTCCGGTAGGAATCCATGGGTTGCAGAGATTCCATAGTCGGAGAGTTCGGGGATGGGGGGTAGCATAGTTGAGTGTTGTCTATATCTTGGTTTTGCCTCTGTTGCGAGCAAAACGAGTTTCCGAGTGTAGTCGATCGAGTGGTTGAGACTTTAGAAGTGCCGAGAGATTATCAACGCTCCAATGGATGATTGCGATTACGGAAGTTGGTTGTGAATGCGGTTCAGTGAGGTAGTAGACAGTGTTCAAAAAGGTCCTGACGCAAGGAGTATCCAGAATTTGCTGGAATACTCCTCAGCCGTGCGAAAGATCCTTGGAACAGCAAGCATTCAACGTAATGTGAGAGCTGAGCGGAAACAGTTCCAAGATGTTGTTAGTTTCCAGGAAAAACCAATGTCGACCGTGAAAAGAAACAAGAGTTGTAGGTAACTTCAGCGGAAGGGGTGTGCGTGTGCCGGATGTTTTATTTAATAATGCGCGCAGCGGTCCCGTCGGCTATGTGGGATTGGACAGGCGCAATGTGTTCCAGGGTCTCCCCCGAGACCATTTTTCTTCTCTGCAGGTGAAGAAATGTAATGGCGGAGAGTACGGATGCCAGACTAGGTGACTAGGCTACTAGGTAACTCTGCTAGGTAAGGTAGGCAGTAGAGTCGAGTGTTTGTGCCGCCTCCTTGGAGCGGTTAAAGCGCCCAATTCGAAACATGGACGGTACATACAATGGATTAGCGGGGCACGTACCTCGAGCGGGTGGAACCATATGAGTGAACATGACATCCAATGATTCGATACCTTCAGAATGATTGTGGTACCACCAAGCCAATGTATCGATGAAGTAAAGCATCTTGCAGAGCGAAGACAACTCTCGGGATTTACCGTAACAACACGATTATGCCCCGTACCAGAAGGCGTGCAAAGTATGCGTAGTAGCTACCAAGGTCTACGGTTATGTACCTAGAATACATGGCTTGCAAAGTGCTGAAAATGTAAGCAAGACGGAGAACAATGCAAGATTACAAAGCGTGTCAAAGCAACTGCAAAAAAGGAACTGGAGCTGGACCTGACCAACCCGAAACATGCCAGGCAAGCAAGCTGCCAGCATTGGATTAGAATGGGCCCGCTCCGTGCTCGGCCTTTCATCCAGCCAACTTCACACCATGAGATCAATTGAGAATCTCAGCGGCCGTGTGGGTCCGATGCCGGCCATCATCGATCATTGGGTTACGCTGCAACGTGGAAAAACAGTATCTACCTAAATCCACTTTATTGCTTGTTGCAATCATCAACCTAATTTGCTATCCTGAAGTCGATAAGCAGATCTCTTGCGCAAGCTCTGATACCATGCGCTTGCATTTCGAGGCGCGCTTGGTGCAGTTATATACCTATTTTCTAACCCATCACAAAGGAAGCAAACATGCAGGATGGCCAATATCCCATGGGAAGCATTTCAAACTGCATGGCTGCGATGTAAATGGTGCAAAGTGATGAGGATGATGTACCATGAGTGTTTTGCTTTAACTATCGGTGCTGATAGATGAATGGCGATTTCCGTCCAACCTTAACCTACATTTCTTACGTCTAATTTAGGATCGAACACCAGTATGAAGGGCCTCTTCAAAGTCGATGGAGCCCGCCTCAGGTCACAGGTTTAAGGTAACGGAATTTGACTGCGACGCGGGGAGACCTTCACGGCGGCCCCACCTTTTCCCGCCCAAGCTGAGGTGCGTCATCCGCAGTGCGAACTGCCATCCACCACCGGCACCCAATCACCGATGTCCAAACTACCCTAGCTACTTACCTACCTCCCTCCACTGGGTACATGGAACGCTTCCACCGTCGCAAGCTCTCTGAGAAATCTATCACCGGCGCCGTCCCATTCCGCTGTCCGACGTCTCCCGTTACCGAACACCCACCCGATTGTGCCGATTCTCATAGCAGACCTTAGTGTTAGACACCGCTGCAGCATCACAAACCGGCTCTAGTCCTAGGGCCCCTGGCATGCACCTATGAGTTGAATCCGCATCTCACCTTCCCCCTCTCGCCGCTCGCTCTCCGTTACTCGCGCATCCGCCTTCACCTCTACTCGCCTCCTGACCGAGCTCCGTATCGGCTCCCCCGTACCGGAGCTCTCGCTGCGTCTCTGCGATGCCCGTGCCGCAACATGTCCTGAACTGGCTTTACAGTGTTTTGACAAGTGTATGTTGTGTCTTCAACTCTTGGCTCCGTTGTCCTCGACTAATGCGTGGCCCTGTCCCCAGGAATACCACGATGTGAATCGCACCTACAACGATGTAGCCCAAGCGCTATCCCACCACCCATCTCTATCGCCGCGCACCGACGTTCACAGTACGGTCATCGATCGCGACCACAAATCCTTGATGAATGCGTGCTGATACCGTCCATAGCTTACGATAATGGCTCGTCAGCCCTACTTCTCCGCCTCTCTGGTACCATACCCGTTATATTTAGAGGCACCACATATCGCTTTCCCATATCTGTCTGGGTGCCTCATGCCTACCCACGAGAGGCTCCATTGGTTTACGTCACTCCAACAGAGTCCATGATGGTACGCCCCGGCCAGCATGTAGATCCTCAAGGCCAAGTCTATCACCCATATCTCGTAGGCTGGGCCGCCTTCTGGGATGTATGTCTTCATGCTTATCTTCCCAACCCTGGGCTTTGAGGGTTGTTCTCCCATTCTGACGGCTAGCGTGTTAGAAATCCACGATTCTTGACTTCCTGGCCATCTTGAGAGATATCTTCGCCAAAGAGCCACCAGTCATTGCCCGACCACAAGGCCCACAGCAACCACTGCCGCCCGTGGCATCGCGTCCACCGCAATCACACACCCAAACGCCTCCCCCTTTTTCGCCTCCTCCACATGAGTTGGCAGCTCGTCCGTCGAGTCGCCCGCCTCCTCAAACCCCTACAGACGGATCGCGGCCTCCGCCTCCGCCGCCCAAAACGACAAGTACTGAACCGTACAGAAGCCCACCACCTCCTCTAGATGCTAGATACGGCCCTCCTCTCCCACCTCTACCCCCTGGTGCCACTCGTCAAGGCATCCATGGAGGCCTCAATCTCCAAGAGTCAAGTCGTCCACAGAGTCAAGCGCATTCTCGGTACGACTCAGCACCGCCACTACCACCAGTACCGTCCTCTCACCCACCGCCGCCGCCAGTCGTCTCATCTCCGCATCAAACTGAAGACACTGCACAGCAACCGCAATTCCGTTCTGGACATCCTGCTCAATCCGTTGCCCCTCGTCACTCAGCCGTCCCTATGTCTTACCAGCAAACGTCTCAGCATTACAGAGGACCACCTCCAGGCTGGCAACCGGACGGGCAGTATCAGGCACCACCGCTGCCGCAGCAACTGCAGCAGCATCCGCCGCCACAACAGCAGATTGCAAAACCACCGCCACCGCCAGATTTGCTCGACGCGCCCCTCACCCTGAGCATACCTTCGCCGTCCTCGGTTCCCGCGCCACCGATTCCGCCGAACCCGGAAAAGGACGCATTGCTCCACCAACTAGCGCAAACACTTCACTCCCTTCGGCAACGTAGCAGACAGCAGAATGACTCCAGCATGGCAGGCTTGCAGGCGCAACGCACAGCTATGGTGTCTGCCTTCTCGACACTTCAGTCGGAGATGGGGACCTTAAATCAAACATCGGGGCTACTTCAGTCCAACGCTAATATCCTGATCGACGCGCTGCGAAAAGCCGATTCTGTTATCGAGGGATCAAAACGTCAAACTGCGCCTGATATCGACGAGCTTCTGGTTGCGCCCACAGTCGTAGCTAACCAGTTATACGCATTGGTCGCCGAAGAGAAAGCTATCGGGGATACTATTTTTGTCTTAGGCCGCGCCGTGGAACGCGGAAGGGTATCACCAGCGGTATTTGCTAAGACGACACGATCCCTTGCTAGGGAGTGGTATCTGAAGAAAGCTTTAGTTCGCAAAATAGGAAAGGGGATGGGGCTGACAGCCTAGTCGAGCAGTGACGTTGCGCTCCAATATCATGACATTTCAGTACGCTGAGTACTTTGGCAGACCAGGATTTCATTGAGACTATTCTCTTTGTGCCCGGCAGTTCCTTTGCTGGCCATTTCCCAGTACTATGCTTCATAGCCTTGCAGCCTTCACCCTCCAGGTCTCTTACGCCGGTACACTACAAATGATATCCTGCTCTATGCTAAGGCATCACTGAAGAACACTGCTAGCTAGCCCGTCCGACATTGAATCAGTTACCATTACTGATGCTTGTTTCACTTTGCCGATTGGCAGCTTTGCGCATTTTACTCAGCTGTACAGTAGACATTGGCCGAGAATGGTACATTCGACATTCGGCACCGGCCGCCACGATTCTTCTGTCTCGTGGTGCGCGCCATCGAGCCCAGCTAGTCCCATGAGCATCTCCTGACAGAGCGTCCCACCTCGTCCTCCAAGGTGCGTACGAGGATGATGATCCAAGTTGCCACCAAGTAGAAGTGACGACTGGACCAGTGGTACTGAGCGGCAGGACTCTCTTTTGTTCTGATAAACAGCCGTCAAGACTATGACCGGTGCTCAGACACTCCCGGGGAATGGCCGACGTGCTCTTTCGGGAGGGCCTGTCTCTCGACGATGCAGACGCAGACGCAGCTGGGTGTCGGGTTTTGGGCTTCTCTGGCGAACAGTTGGCCAGCTGTTTGTCATCTGATCGAGCGATAGTGAGGTAGGACCCTTGCCAGGTAGGGGGCTCTGGTGACTTGGTCACATTGCGCTTTGAGTGGTCATTTTCATCTCTCTTGCCCTTTTCTAGCCTGCCTTTCTCCCATGATGCGGAAATCTTCCGCCAGACTTCGCGACCACGCTTGAACCCCAGGCTTTCGAATCGATTCTCGGAGTGGGTTTTCAAACCGTCTGCCTCGCGCTCAGGCCCAGCGATTCTCGATGTTGGCACCAAGATCGTTTTATTGGCTGAGGGCCTCGTCTCCGCATCCATCCGGCAGATGGCTTCCAGAGTATTAATTCGATCCTTCGAAGAAGAAGAAGTTGATCCTTTAGATATACGGGCGCCCACCGTTGATTGGAAGGAACAACGTATAGCACCATTCGTGGATGCTTCATATTGCAACTGTTGTCCATGGCCAGGCTGAAAGGCCATCTGTGAGTTGCCGTTAGCAGACCACCTATTTGCTGGCCCAGTGTGACTGCGCCTCAGTCGCGAGCCGCTGTTTGGACCAGTATCGTTGGCGCTTTCATCAAACAGCGTTCTCAGACTCGCCACTTTGCTTTGCGCTGTTACGATAGCTGCATTTCCGGAAGACTCCAGTAACCCCGTCATGGAAGTTGCGTGTTCTGTTTGTAGCTTCTCTTTGGATTCGTAGTATTCTGATTGCGGGACCGATGACCTTGTACTATCCCTGCTTATGGACTGGGAGATCTCAAGATCCACCTGATCCGTTGGCCGGTCTGGTGCTTGGGCAATTCCATGCTCCAGATTTGAGGTCGAAGCATCCCGTGAATGGAGGGCATCCATGGCTCGGGGCCAAAGCCCGAAGAGCTTCCCTCTGTCTCTGTGTCCTCTAAAAACGGTGATCTGCTCCGTTTGCGTTTTTTCGCGAGTCGGACGACTTCTCTGGCCAAAGCTATACCCAAGGCTCTTCGAAATGCTCCGGGTCCAACTTCCTTCCACTGCCGTTTTTGTTTGGTCACCGGCATTGACAAGCCTTGGGTCCAAAGGTGGCTCTGCTCTACCTTGAGGGCTATCTTCAGGAGCTTCGATATCGTTCGACCTCAGTTTCCAGGTCTTAGTCCGGGGAAGTGTACAGCAAGGTGTCTGTGTCTGTGGCGTGATACCGTAGTTGCTGAAAGTTGGCAGCGGTAGGTTTGTCCTGACGCCGCCTACGCAGACCATCAGCATTCCGTGCAGACCAGCATTACTTAGGGTGTCATACTTACCCATCGGAGCTTCAAAAAGTTGTCGTCTTTCAGCTACAAGACTTCTCTGTCTTCCATCAGCTGACCTTCCAGCTTTGTTAGGCCGCCTCTCTCCAGTAAATGGATCAAAAGTGTAGGTTGTTTGTTCTACAGCTGCTCGAATTCCAGTCTGTAGGCTGTTCTGGGGCTCGCATGACGGACTCCGACGAGGTGAGATCTGGCTCGGGCTTGGGATTGACTGTAACTCCACCACTTCTTCATAGCCTGGCCCAGGTGGAGATTCCTTTGCAGGACCAGATTTGACCGAAAAACCTATCTCCTTACGGACAGCGCGGTTCTCGGCTGGCGAACGAGGCACTTCTACGCTCGACGCACCATGGCTGGCAGTAGCTTGTGTCTCGAGATCAGTCATTATGTCAAGTATCTCGAACTTTGATACGACAGCAGCCAAGGGCGGGGTTTTCGGCTGTGTTGGATGTCTAGGCAATTTGTCGTTGAATTGTTCAGTCGTAGTGAACTCATCGGTAGATGTTGCGTTCTCGATGAAGCTTGCACCTGGTTGTTGTTGTAAAACACCTGATGCTTCGTCTGTTTCTTTGCTCTTGGGAGAGAGTCGAAGAGGTGCGGGCTTCATGTCTCCCCGTACAAAGTCCTTTGGCGACGAGCATCTTGCCTGTGTAGGTGATCCCGGCAGGTGGCTCTCCATGGGAACGCGTTTTAGAAGAGAGTACTGGCAAGTCGTGTGGCAAGGAACAACAAGGCAATAGAATTCTCACCGTATAAGGACCAACAAGTTATGTATTGACGTACGAATCAGGTCGTGATGAAAATGAATGCTGGAGTGACAGTGTTCGGTCGCCAGGTAGCGTCATTCGACCATGCACTTGCCCTGGCCGAGCAAAAGCTCTCCAGCCATACGCATTGGTAGACTCCTTCTTCTTCATACACGGTAACCAAGTCTAGTACGAGGCAGGAGACCCTTGGATATGTCCTACAGCCTCTACTTTCGTCCTTGGTTGATGGAGCCGCGCTTTCCGTTCAACTCGGGTAGTGCGGATCAGATCGGAAGGTACCTACTCGAAGATTGTCATTGGTCCTCGAGGTTTCAGTCATACATGACGCAGACAGAAACAACCGATTCGACGCTTGAAATAAACCTATATCACAATAAAGAAGTGACATATAAGCAATTTCATAAGTCGAAGACACTCTGTTAATTTCAGATTACGTCTTTTGGGGCCAAGGTAGGGAAGCACAAGAACATGCCCATCATATAGCTGGGAATGACTTGAATCTCTGCGATGAAGCAACTATCGATGAATTTGCTATTCCACAAGTGAATGAAGCAACTGTGGATTAATCATTTAGGTAGCGAAACATGACCATGAATAGCCGTGGTGAGGCAAGCTCACGAATTTCAGTACACGATCATCTGCGTCTGTTCTGGCCAAGGCAGACAACACATGAAATCAACGATTGGCTGAGACTCGCTCTTCATAAAATCTCGCCTCTCGATTCTTTCTGACGGATCCCTTCTCGAGATTGTCACCTTCGATTCGTTGCCACTCGACGTCGATCAAGTCACTGCCGCTAGTCTGATAGTGTTGGCGGTGATGGCTGGACTTCATGTGCCAGATAACGGCCATATAACGGCACCGCCCCCATTCCTGTATATTCGAGGTCGTGCCCCAGTGGTTAGAGGTGTCTAAGGAGGAGCAACTAACATGCCGCACAGAAAACCGGCTGCGACTCTCCTCGCGAGGTACTGATCGAGGCGCGAGAAGAAAGCTAACAGGCTGCCTGGAGGTAGAAAGACGACGACCAACGTGTAGGTTGATGAGCCCGACTCGAGGCCTAGCTAGGAGCCTCAATTCCAAGAAAGCAACGATGACTATAAGGGAATCGAATAAAATCAACATGACTCCGAGCATAAAGTGTCGCGCGAGTCCACACACCGGATATGATCATCAGAATCCCTGTGTAATGGTTGATACTTCCATCACATTTGGTCATTACCTCATTAGGAGAATGTCTCGATTCTTGACCAGACGTATATTATTCTTGTCCGTATCAAAAATGTCTCCAGTACGAGAATTTGACCAAGAAGTTGATATCAGGCATACCTGCAGTGCCATTCAAGAAAGTTAATAGTCGGCTCTTTCAGGACTGATGGCAATATTACTTAAAGTGAAGCAAGACTTCCTTGCGCGTTACTCTCGCTCCTGCAATGAGATTCGGTATTATTGTAAATACGAGTGTTTTCTCACATTGCTACATGCAATTCTCAACCTGTGATCTCACGTATAGTAAGTGAGTAGGCTGAAATTGATGATAAAGCAGCTCTATTGGAAGACCTTAGCCGTAAAGTACCGAGGGCGTAAGACGAAAGATGCAAGTAAGATAGTCACAAACAAACCGTATGGCAGCAAGGTGTGAAATACACTGTTCACAGGTCAGATGGTTCAAGACAACGGCATATGGTCTCGTTAAAAAATCGGTCAGACTGCACTGCCAGGGATCAATTGTTATTGCAAATGACGCCAGATATATTGCTCTGTCGCATGTCACATGTCACAATGCCTGAGATAGTCAGATTAGAAAATAAGTCGGGCCATGATACAGCAGCTAAGAGCCACATGCCTAGCTTGTGGCAGCCCAACTTAGCTTGGCTCACTTATTCTGTCCATTCGAACTCTGACGGCCCGTGTCCTGGCTAGACAAACCAGCTAGACCGCGAGACATGGCCGGCCCGGGCTGTTGTTCACTATTCGGGTAGAAGGGACTGCCCATGGGATCGACAGAGCGACGTATAATGCTCCCATGTACCCCCCATCCAAATCAGAAATGGGCGCGTCCGTGTTGACCGTAACTTGGTTGTTGGCTTGACGTCTGGCCAGAGCAGGTGTGGCAGTCTCAAAGCAGCTGTATGCCAGAGTCAATTCGCCTTCCATCATAATTTCTTGGTGGGGGCTGGAACCAGGAGATCGACCTGACATTATCAGCCGCTGCTGACGCAATTGGTGAGCGCACCCCACCCCCCCCCCACAACCCTGTGGCGGCTCAGCAGGCTGGCACTCCTGCCTCTGACCAAGCTCGCAGATTGGCTTGAACATACTGTTTCACTTACAGCAAACGAACAGGTGAAAATACCCAAAGCCGCAATGGGTCCTCCTAGTTATTAGGCTTGAAGAGCCACGAGGTCTATGCAGTCATGTAGTCTACTTAAGCGTTTGCCGTTCACCAGAGGCTATACTTTGGCTAGTCGGGTAGGATGGTGCGATGTTGACGGATGAGGCGTAAGGGGGAGGCAAGAATCCTGAAGCTCAAGCCTCACCGTCAGGTCCGTGAGTCAAAATAGTTGCCCGGATGTCGCAAGGCAGTTGAGAGTCGTCAAACGCCTGACGCACTTGACGTCTGCCTCCGTCCCGTGAGACCCACTCACACATCCGACCCGGCCGCTGGCCCCGATTCCCCACTTCCGGTGCGGGGACATAGCTTCTGCACCCCGACGCAACGGGTCTCTACCCAATCGTCGGGTTATCGGGCAGCATAATGAGATCAGGACTGTGCTCACCAGGGTAAATGCACGATCGTTATTTTGGCACATTGCTGTCTCAGGAATTTCCAACTTGGTCGGGTGGTTGGTCCTCGTCAGGACTTCACGCCATGAATTAGGAAACGATAAATCCGAAAACATTCCTCAGCCGTCAGTCATTCCGGGAACAGGTGACAACCTGACAGGCGGAGCGGGTCAACCTGGTCTGGACTGAGACAAGAAGACAACATATTGGGGGCCGTATGACCAATCTCTCAATGCGAAGATTGTGAGAGCCTAGCCCTCTTAATGTCTCTCGTTGACGTTTTAGCGTCTTTCCAGCTTGGCACTCGGCCGTCCAACATCCCTTACTTTCCAATTCCCTATTAGCCGACACTAATCCGCCTTTTCTGTAACCGCATTTCGTCCGCGCTCCGTTTGAGTCTTGAAAAGCCGGTTCTAAGACCAATCCGGTAGCTCACGATGCAGTGGCTTGCACACACGATCCGCCTTCCGCCCGAAAGCTCGCCAGACGGCGGATGCTTGCATAGCCAGTGAGGGGCATTTTTCTGACGAGATGGATCCTGTCATGACCGAATTCCACGTGTCTAAGACGATCCACCCCAAAGCTTCGACCTTGTCTCCTTGATGCCTCCTCTCGGGGTTTTCCCATTCATCACGACTAAAGCAGCGACCTCGTCCGTGTAAGATCTCGACCTGCGTCTGATTCGCGACGCCTTGTCTTTGAAATCTTGCCTCTTGGCTCAACCAGCTCAATGGGTGAATCAGAGACAACTGCCGCAACGTCTGACATGTAGGCTAAGCTCGAGCGGAACGATTGAGCGAAATACCCTTCTTTTCTGGACCACAACCTTCACCGGCAAGCGTTACTTGCGACCACCTCTCCATTCTGACTAAAGCGCGGAGCCATCTCCGATCAACGCCAAAGAGCTGAGCAGAGCTTCGCCAATTGTCGACGCCATTACAGCTCTTTGGCGAAATCAAGCACGCATCTAGATTAGGCTCAGCCAACTCGTCATGTTCCTCCACTCATGGGCACCCTCCTTGTTCCCTCTGTAGCTCAAGGTCTAGATAATGGCTTGTCTGTGTCTATTGTCACGGCCGCATTGACGGAAAGCCTCCTGCGCCTCCCGGTCTAGATCCTTAACTAGATCCTATGATATGGGTGGGGTTTTGACAGTAGGCATTCAGAGTGAATGATAAAAGATCGCCATAGCCTGCTTCACCTTGCCCTCTTCTCCTAGACTTGCCGTCATTACTTCTTCTCATGTACGCCTGCATACCTGGCTTTTCTGCTCTTCCTTTAGAGCTATTAGCTTTCGGTCTATTTCCTAGCCCCCACTCCAGCTTTCGCTGGGTGAACTTTGATCTTTGACCAGAATTCCACGACATCATTAGCCGGTTTTATCAAATTTTGGGTAACCAGTATCGCTCCCTCTTTTAGTTCTATTTGAAATCTCATTTTTTTACACGCCGGTTTATCGTTTTCGCCACAACTCCTATTATTGCCCATCATGAAAGTAAGCAAGCAACTTCTCGTTGGGCTCTGGGCAGGCGGCAAAGCGGCTGCTTTCTTCATCATGCCCTGTTCAAAACCAGTGGTTGTTGAGCGCGCCGATCCCATTGTCAACCCGGGAGCTCTCTCAGGGCATGTTCATACCATCATGGGTGGTAATGGCTTCGACTTCAGTATGACTTATGAGCAGGCTCGTGCTGCCACTTGCTCAACGTGCAAGGTGACTGCCGATTTAAGCAACTACTGGACTCCAACCCTCTACTATCAAGGCCAAGACGGCAAATTCACTAGTGTTTCCCAGTCCGGAGGCATGCTTGCCTACTATTTGTGAGTAACGATGTAGCACAACGAGAGAAGCCAGAGAACTGACCGTTATTCCAGGTTCCGCCAGGACGCCAAGGATCCGGAATACAGCAAAGGGCTCATCGCGTATCCCAAGGGCTTTCGAATGCTAGCGGGCGACCCAAAGCTTCGAAGCTACAACAATACCCTCGAGCAGCGGGCCATCTCCTACGTGTGCTTGGGCAACAGCGGCCCTGCAACGAGCGAGCTTCCCAATCGT